GTTCCACAACATTTGAAAGGGACTGACCACCAAGGACATATTGAAAGGAATCGTCCTCCTTACTGGTCTGTCTGGTGCGGAGTCTCAGGACTACACATTTGTCCACATTAAAATTGAGGAGCCAGCGAGCTGACCAACTGTTAACGCGGTTGAGACTGTCTTGAAGCGCGTACCTGTCTGCATCAGATCTGATGGATCTCCACAGCTTAACATCGTCAGCAAACATGATGGCGCTGCATCCCAGGTCGTCGACGCAGTCGTTAATGTAAACCAGGAATAGCAACGGCCCTAAGACTGAGCCCTGGGGTACACCACTTAGAACGGGAGTAGGAGTTGACCTTGAGGCCTCAATGCACACGGTTTGCGATCTCCCGTTAAGAAAATCTGTTATCCATGTCAGCAGCCTTCCTCTTATCCCAATTTCGGAAAGTTTGTAGATTAGGCGTTTGTGTGGGACGCTGTCGAACGCCTTCTTAAAGTCTGTGTATATGACATCAACCCTCCCATCCTCATCCAGTGAGTGAGTCCACTGCTCCGTCGAGAGCAATAAACTGGAAAGACACGAGCGGTTCTGTCTAAAGCCGTGCTGCAGGTCTGAGATTAAATGGCCCTGCTCCAGGAACTCCATAGTTGCTTTCTTAACTATGGCCTCCACATTTTTACAGCAGATGCAGGTTAGACTAACAGGCCGGTAATTGTTAGCATTAGTGCGAGCCCCGCCCTTGTATATCGGAAAGATATTTGCTGTCTTCCATTCCGATGGCAACCTCCCTAATTCGAATGGGAGGTTGCCATCGGAATGGAAGACAGCAAATATCTTTCCGATATACAAGTTGTTAAACTGTCTTTTGTAAGTTCCTTATACTTGTCACGTCGTGCCTTATTGCTTTGTTGAACCAACTTTAGAAGATTTTTTAAAATTGAGTAACTCCACCTGCGGCGCGAAACCAGAAAAAAGAGGTGTTTTTTAAAAAGCCTAAATCCCTCTTTCTGGGACTGACACAGGGTTTTCAGCGATATATTTAGCAGTTCTCCAATAATTTATCCGGCAAAAAATATTATCCGCTGTAACTGGTTTGTCACCATTTGAGCTGACTAAAATGCATGCCATGTGGGAAGAAACCGCCACAACAAATCGCGTCATACTTAAGTTCAAATGCTTATCTATCAGTCAGACAAGGAAGTGACAATTGGTGGCCCTTATTAAAAAAACTGCAGTATTCTAGTGACTGCTGATAACCTACTAAGTAATTGCAGCAAAACATGGAAATCGTGGATGCCTTTAGCAGTACGAATAGGAAGTAGGCTGAAAGCATTTGGAATATATGGACAGCATTTCCTCATAAACGAGCAGTTTGGGAAGACAAGTCTAGGAAAAGCCGAACGACACATAGCAAACTTATTTAACAGAAGTTAATATAAGAATGCTTTTTGTTAAGTGTTCACATCTGCTCGATTTGAACTATGCGTTTTTGGAAATTGCTCAGTTTACTTCGTTAATTTTAGTTTAAATTGCCCTAATAAAGTGGGAGACATACAACTGGATGACGGTGTGGCGGTCAAGGATGTGAGATCGACTTAAACCACGCACAATAAGTTCGTTTCGTCTACTGTCAGAAGTCAGGGAGCTGCTACAACGGTCACGTCAGCCGTTTTATACTCTATCATTTCCACGAGAGAAACAACGAAACAACAGCCACCTTAACAGTCTTTGGTGTTCATTCGAGTGCTTTAGTTGTTTGCAAGCCCCAGCATTGGCGTGCTCAATTCTGCTTGGGTAATTTTTACCTCCTCGATGCTAATCGTCCCGAATGGCCTCGCAACTCTGTAATGGCCTTTCACGTTCAATCGTTGTGGCATGTCTATCTCAGACTAACGGGGAAGTATCCGAAACGCAAATTCCTCAGGGTTTAACGTTTAGGGGCACATTGAACGTACAGAGAACGTCAGTAGACAAGTCATCTGCCGATAGAAATCCAACCCTTCAGATTGGCAAAGTTAAGAGCCGACCCAGCTCTTTGAAACGTCAGCACTTAAATAAACCTGTTCCGGAGAGCCTATTTTCATCGTCAAATCTAACCCTGCGTTCCGCAATTTCTGACGTGTTGCTACGCAGTCACGAGAACAAACCAGTTGTTCATTTAATTTCTGCCGGAAATTAAACATGGAGTTTTTATGCTACCAAACTCGAACACCAATATACTTCCACAGGTCAGATACCAGTACCTTCGCCGAAATCGTTCCCAATTTTGTATTGCTCTCTATGTTTGATAGCCACACTTCATCTAGAGATGTTGAAATAAGGTCAGACCCTAACAACGGACCGCTACTGTCAACCATTTACACCGTTTTAAACAAGCTCTCTCCTTTAAATAACCAGCGCTAATCAGCCAAAATGTTGCTGCATGGTGACGAGAGACCGCATTCGGAACAACAGACGCAGAACAAGTCCGGCGGCTTAGAATCGGCATTTTCGCCACACTCATCCTATTTTTCTGATTTCGAGGCGGCTCACTGTCCTTCGTTCAGTTATGTGCAGCACTTTCTACGCAGAGTGAATAAAGAGAGAATGTGGGCAGTTAATATTTTGGGGGAGTTTTTGACTAGTAAGCATAATTTTATGTGTATAAAGAAAACGCGCAGTCTCTGCTTATTTTTTTCAATTCCGCCCATATGGACGCCGTTGGCTGCCTAGAGTCAGTTCTCCTTCTGCATAGACTACACACTCATAATCTTAGACGTATTATTCAACATCCCCGTAATCATCCCACTCGGGGTCATTTTCACACTCTTAACTGAATTCCACTATCAAAAGGTCCACTAATGTTTGTTAAACCAAAGAACTGATCCTGGTTGCTCTGAGTGGATTAAAGTACCAAGAAGCGTTGTTCCGCAAGCAGGAATCTTTCCGTTGCACTGGAAGTGCGTTAATTTTTGATTACTAGGTCAGTTCGTC